TATATATATATATATATTGTTTTTGTTTGAGAATAGTCTTTGTTTGTATAATTCTTTCCTCGTACGCTATCTTCTATACATATCTTATGGATTGTGAACGTATTTTTATTTTATTTGTTCCAGTGTGAGACTAAAGCGGTCGTGCATATATGCAGTCGCTTACGAGAAGTTTTATATCCAATACACGCCCAACACCGCTTGCTTGTACTTCCACCTTGTTTCGCCTAACAGTGGTCGCTTGCCAAAACATTTCTATCGCGCCTAACATCTTGTTCCTCAGATTTCTTCGGAATGTCGTACCGTTGGGAACAGCTTTCATCATGGCTCCACCTTTCCTGATCACAGCCTGTGCGGTTAAGTGTATTGTCCGGCCTTTCTCTGCGGAGTGGGCAGCAGCAGCAGATGAGATCCAGTTCCGTACGTATATGGTATGCGTATCACTCCATAGTCCATTCGCACTTGTGTGACCGCGTTTCATTTACTGCCCAGTATTGGCTCGTAACTTAAATTTCGAATTTCAGTCCCCAAATTCTAGTTAAATGTGTGCATGCGAATCATGCTTTTTCGCATACGTCAAGATCTCGCCAATTACCTCACGCCCGTTATGGCTGTATTTACGCGCCGTCTGCAATCTGCCCTCATCAGGCTGCAAATACTATTCGTCATTTGACTACCAAGACGCATTTCATCACTTTGATAACATTTGACTCACTTCAACACTTGATTATAATGACTCATTTCATCACTTCAACTACAAATACTCACTTCATCACTTGATTACAATGACTCATGTCATCACTTTGATTGTAATGACTCACTTTATCACTTCAACTACAAATGTTCACTTCAACACTTGATTGTAGCGGCTCATTTCATCACTTGATTACGTATACTCAATCGGTCACATATCTCCTGTAATGCGGCAGACCTACGTGACGACGTTCTACGAGGCCGTCAGCAACGCCAAGGTGGTCTGGCATGGTGAAGATGTGACACAACTCAATGACAAGCACGTGCTACTTATCTGCAATCATCAAAGTACTATGGACTGGGTATGCGCAGGTGAACAGTGGGTTATTTTTGGTCTTAGTTCATGCAAATTGAGAGCACATGTTCTCAGCTGCCTGTGTTCGATGTGGTCTTAACTTTGTTTGCTAGATATTCGTACCAGTACGTGGGATTTGGGTTCTCGAGACCGATCCAGGGCCTAGGCTTACTAGGCTGGCGCCACTCGGGAGAACATTCCCAGCCCGCTCGTTGTACCACTAATAAGCACATACACATGTTCATCGACTTGCTGCCCGCACATTGTCTTTTTGTGCATTGGATGGAACACGCGAACAGTATAATCATTCTTCGCAGATTGACCGTTTGCAAGGTGCCTCGTCGTCATATACGCGGGGAATCCAATTGAGTCATATTCTGATACATGGCTTGTCTTAACATTCTGATACCTGGCTTATCTTAGCATGAATAATTGGGATTGCATCCCCCACCATCTGTTCTTCCCAACGTGGATCGTTGGTAGCTTGTTGTCGGGAAGAGTGTACGCGCTCAGTGATGTATCCGTTGTCATACCACAGGTTCTCGTCTCCTCGCTTGCAATCCGTCAGAGTCAATCAGCACTGGGCTCGCTCCGATATGTGATGAAAGCGGGGTGCAGGTACATTCCCCTGTACGGGTTATACTTGTACATGCACGGGTGTCCATTTGTATGGAGGGATTGGCGAGTGGATGAAAAGTGCTTGCAACAAAGTGCCGAGTGGCTGTGCGCTGTGAATCGCCCGCTCTGGCTCGCATTGTTTCCAGAAGGTATCGGTTTGTGTCATTAAAGCACAGTGTTACGAATCGTCTTTGCGCGTGATATCTATACTGCACTGTGCAGGAGTGGTCATATCTGTGGGCCTTCTTTTATAGTTGGGGCTGTATGATCATCGATATCGTTGCTGTGGTTGTCCCCTGCATCAGATTGCGTTTAATCCCGTCCATATGATCGTCATGGACCTTGTACATGTATACGTATTTGAGTATAAGTGGTTGAATTGATATGCATGGGTATTGATCCGTAACAACATGCACATGAATTTATCTGACTTCGCCTATTAACATGCAGTTGAGATGTAGATGCACTTTCACGCCCTATTGGTTGCATGTTTGCGCAGAATGCGTACCGACTTAGGTGTATCCGACCTGTTTAATATATATATGAAGGTGTGTGGGTCAACTCATACCCACCAGACATATTGTGCGCTGTATACTTCATATCTCTATGCTCCTGGCAACACTAGTACGACTTTTAAAAAGTCATTTCGCCGAAGTGCTTATCGTCACAGTTAACCTCCCTATATCCAGGTACCAGATATAACGCTAGTAGGCACAAACAGTCTGTAGACTACTGTGAGGATCACAGTTTGCCGCCGCTTCGGCATGTGCTCGCTCCCCGTGTGCGGGGCTTTGAGAAGACGTTGAGAGAGGTACTTTGAAAGCTTTATATTTTGGACGCCTGTGTGAACAGACACGTGTGTGTTGTGTGTAAGTTAGGATCACCGCTGTGCTGTCGCTGGACAGTCTGTGGCCTGATGATGATGTCTATTGGCTGCGAGTGAAGTCAAAGCGTGTCCGCGTGTACTTCAAATGGGTTATACGTCTGTTACTTATACAATACTTTGTCCCTGAGTTGACGTGTACGTTATAGTGTCTGAATAGTGATACATGTCGCTGCGGTATTTTTTTCTCGATCCTTTGAGTTGTAAATTTTCCCGTGCTCAGTCTCACCTCTCGTCATGCTGCTTGTCTCGGTTGTGCATCCCTACATAACATATTCGCAACATTAGTACGTGCATTTCCCAACCCCGTGTTTCATATAGTGAGGCACGTGAACCTACACCCGTTGACCTGGCGCATGCTCTCATTTTGAATCAATCACATGAGCAATAAAGTCTATTTCCCCCAAAATTTGTAAGAGAACTAAAGTCTGTAAGTTGGCCACGGTGTGCACGCCCGTCCACGTGTTGCACTACTGTTGTTTCATGCATCGCTATGTTCGAACACACGCTATCTTGGAGACTCTGCACCATGAAATGTTAATAGCATTCAATGTACTCTACACAGATCGTCAGGCACAAACCAGATCTGGTGATATATGATGTCACCTATGCGTACACTCCGTGCCCATCGGCCCTGACCAGCCACGATAAAAGGTCCTTAATCACCCATCCGCAATCAAGCACGTGTGCGTGTGTGCACACAAATACCTGTGAGTGTATGTGTGTGCACACAGACACCTTGACACACTTATGCGCGTGCAGCTGCGCCCACGCGTGCGATAATATCAGACAGGAACGAGTGGTGTGCAGAGGCCAGGGGCGTGCGCGTGTGAAATCCCCGGAAGCGGAGGCCTACAGTTTCCTCACCGCGACACCACACAAACCATTGTATCGCGACACGCGTTCAATGCGGAGCACAGATACACAACAATCAGGCACACAACCACGATCGCAAAAAATTCCCCATACACATGCACACTTCAGTCCCAACATGTTTGTGTTTTTGGGAGGGGCATGCTCACAAGTAGATGTTCGGGTGAAACGGATACCAGTGAGTGCTGTGCCTCTGAGTGCCGAGAGCAGTAGTAAGAGCCCAAATGTATGTGAGCTTTGGTTGCATAACTTGTTCGTTGAGAAAGATGAGTGGATGGATCGGATATTATACAACCACAGTAAGCACAGCAACCATACAAGGGACGACTCCAAAACTCAGAGACCGAATCTTCCTCGAGGACATAACAGAACTCATAACACGGAAAGGAATTCGACTCAAAATTCTGATGTGCTCGAACATACCGACCAAATAGTACACGAAGATCCTCTACAATTTCATGAGGGCGCGCAAGTGCAAGTGAGCTCCAATACAACCGAATCGAGCACTAGAGTACACTCAAGCAGTTTCAGTATAAAGCATTGCGTACAGCAAGAATGTAAGAAGAGAGGCGTCAATTCTCTCGAATCTGGACAGGAAGGAGGTGACCATAAAGGAAAGGAATCGGGTAGCCAGATCATGGATGTTAGTATAGGGGACAACAACGGCGCGATCAACCACGTATCCACACACGGAATACCAGGAATAGCAGGTACGGCAAGCACCATAGCGCTCTTTGGCTTCTGTCTAACTCCATACATTGTACTTCCACAATTTACCAGTGTGGCTCTATTTTGCGCGTCGACTGTATTATCCGTCACGCTGTCGACCGTGTTGATTACCAAGCCTGCCGTGTAGTTTGGCCCACCGGCCGAGTCGCTCATCGCGTTCATCTAGCGATACAGAACAATCCATGAGGTGTACTCTAATTTAGTAGCGTGCTTAAACATTGTGACAAGCAAGATTTCTGTTCGAAGGCCATAGTGGCTATATTATAAATTTGAAGTTGATGGAAGTCGTACCGGAGAATCGAGGTTTATGGTGGTCGCAACAATATTTGGAAAACGTTTGATCGAGTTCGGGAAGCAAAAAACTAGATTCCCGTACGTGATATGAAATCAGATTCCGTGAGACACTCTTGAAGATACACTTTCACGCAGTATATTTGCCTTTGCAAGGGAAGTTCCAGTCATCCCTCTGATATATTATTGTATACCTTCAACACCTCCATTATAAGTATCTACAGATCTAAATCATCCGCTACCCATGACTGCTCAGAATTTTGAATATGCTCATTTACATCTATACGCAAGAAGCAAATTGTTTACACATATTCTATGCTCAGAATTTTAGACATATATTCGTGAGTGAAACATATCAATAGTTATGCGAATAAAACATAATTTTGGACGACACTCAATAAACTCAAATGGGAATCAAACTAAATATAACACCGGCTCGACCAGTTGATGATATGTACCCATAAATTTATAAGTTACGTATTGTATTTGAGTTTTAAGTATTAGCTTGTTGATTAGCTATAAGTTTGTGTTTATGCGACTTGCAGACAACTGTATCCAAATGTGCATACCACGTTGTCATAGTACTGATCTCGATTATGAGTCGCGTATTATGGATATGAACAATATGGAAGCACGTGTTGACGAGTTGGGTGTTAAATATTATATAAATCATACATCGTATTGCAAATAGCTCTATAAGTATACTGGCTTTGACTCCTATGCAAAGCGATTGTATAAAGGTAGGCAAAATGTGACCGACTGATTTTATTATCATGTTATGTTTAAGTTGTAGGACTACTAACTACATACTCCAATATCGATGGTGGGGCCCACCACATCATCCCTCTGATCGTTTTGCTTTTTGACTAGTATGCAATCCTGATGTATTGGTGTGCCCAGAATCGATTTCTGAGGCATTGTTGCCTGAACAGAATCCCGAGGCACTGCTGCCTCTATAACAGAATCCCGCGGTATAGTTGCCTCTGAATTATGTACCAAATCGCAACCTGCATCGGTGGGTGCCAAAAGGGAAGAGCTATTTCTAAGGGAGGAATCAGCAGAGGTCCCAGATGAAAGCTTATTTCTTTTGTAAAAAGTTTCAGAACTAAATGACTTAATCTTCTTCTTCACATTTACTATGAATTTCGAATCTTTGAGGCTTATCTTGCTCCCTACACTCGAGGTACTAGACGTACTTGATTTTGCCATTAATTTGTTAGCCTTTTTAGATTCCACCAATATCAAAGAGGGCTTTGATCCACATGTCTGTGATCTGGGACGTGACTTTGGCGTTTCAGGGCTCGCAATACTTGACAAGCTCAGCATCGATATCAATTTACTGGGGCGGGCCTCCATATTTGAGACAGACGCCTTAGTCGTAGTCGCTGACCTTGGCCGACCGATTTTCTGTTTCCCAACTTGGCCACGGTAGTCTATCGAGCATTTTCGTATCTTATTGAATAATACCGACTCTGGATCCGAAGTTTCTACTTCCAGTGTGGTGCTAGCCGGCTTCGGAAGCGATATGGTGACGTTCGTTGGTGCATCAATAACGGCGCCTGACAGAATATCCTCGTCGTCGTTCCAGATATCACGTACAATGGACTCTAAACTGAGACTGCTCAAGGGTGTAGGTCTCGGTTTTGCCTTCAACGTCGGTTGAGATTGTTGATTTGGACGTTCTGCCAAAGTAACTGCCGCCATTGTCACGTAAATGAAATTGATTGTCATGGAATGAAGTTAAGAAGTAAAGTTGAATTGTATTATATACAATTATTTGGTTCGATTGAATTTTCACGATGGCGGCTAAAAATAAAAACTAAAAAATCATAGTCTTCTATAAAATTGAAACAAAATATCTAAATATATTTATAATTATTACCAAAAAAACACAAAGATTCTTTTTCATATAAAATTTGTAAAAAATAGGCATAGCCTTCTAAAAATTAAAACAAGAGTATTTTTCAATATATATGGATTTTAAAAAAGAAAATATAATAATATTTGTTTTTTAAAAACAACAAATTGTAGTCTTTTGAATTCAATATTGACCATCGAACAATTTATTATTATTATATGTTTTAGGTTTGCACTCTGTATATTGTTTTGTTTAAAAAAAAGCAATTGTTCGGGATTTTTGGTAAAAAAGATTTTATCTTTAAAAAATAAGGGTCAGTAGGAAGTGCAGGGCAGTACTGAGTGCTGAGTCTGAGACTCTGAGTGGCGACTGGCGACAGTGGCGAGTGGCGGAGATGAGTGCTGAGCGCTGAATGCTGAGTCTGCTGAGTGGTGACTGCTGAGTGGTGACTGCTGAATGCTGACTGTAGTGATGAGTGCCTGAGTCCCTAACCTCATCAGTCATTTTTAATACGTTAGGCGATGCTAACTTACTATACTGACAGCAACGCATATTTATTCGATTTATAAGTTTTAACGTTTTTACAGGTCTAAACAGCTAAATAAAATCTCAATATGTTACTCGAGGCTTACACCTATTTAAAATGGACTATAGCACAGTTTATCTGGTGCTAAAAATCGTATATAGGACAATCTTGGTTACCTGATATATACACCCTATATCACCAGTGCCAAAACAAAATGTAATAATGAATTTGAGTTGAGAAACTACATTTTGCCTTTTTATATATTGTTATTTTTAAATATAAATAAATATTTTAACAAAATATGAGTATATACTACGCTTTTGTTATATTTTCTTTATAAATATCAACAACAGATGACAGGCGAGTATATACTCTACCAGAGTCGAGTAGTAGTAGAGTAGACTGCAGGGTATTTACAGCGTACAGAGCCTCAGCCCTCGAGGCTCGGGGCTCGGGGCTCGGGGCTCGGGCACTCTCAGACACCCAGTCTCTCTCTCTCTCTATTGCGTATTTTTTAAACAGTACTTTTTTACTTTTAGGGTTGTTTTCTGCACTGAAGAAGCTAAATTGAATCTCCAGGCCCAGGCTACCACTCGACTTTTAAATATTTTTGGGTCGCATATTTCATATTTTATTTCAGCTTTTGGCCTTCCAGTATTTATACGAATATATAAAAATATAATACGGCTATTTTTTTTTTGTTGCCATATTCCATATCCATAAATACGATAAATACGTGACATAAAGCACCCAGGGTCCTCAATATTTAGAGAGAGAGAGAGAGTCTATTGTCTCTACTGACTACTCTCAACAAACCACTATTTTACAGACTACAGGGCTCTTGGCCGAGTTGAATGTGGTTTGGTATTTTCTATAAATATCATAGCCCTCAATTTATATATATAAAATATCATCTGGTGTTTAAAAGAGAAAAAAATACTGGTGTAGTAATAGTAGTATTCGTTTTTGGCAGCTGTTTTTTTCTAAAAACAACCTCTGATGTTTTGTTTTCAAAAAACAAACAAACATTTATTATACATTTATAATTGGAAGACTTATTCTGCAGTGGTGATATATTTAAATATATGTGTATTTATATGTTCTTTTTTTAAAGGAGGCTATGTATGTAAATACTATCTCCAGAACCCAAGCGGCCCAGACTCTGAGTTTTCAGGCCCCAGCCCAGGGGAAAGTTCTATACAGTATTTACCAAATTTTTTGTTTTGATGTTTTTTATTCATAACATTTTTGTTTTGCGAAGAAACAGAAAGAAACAAAAAAGAAATACAGTGGTATATAAAGGGCCTAAATCATAACGTTGTTTTTAGCGAAAAAACAAGAAATCGACAAATCAGTAAGTACCAAAACCCAAACTCCAAAGTGACCACAAATCTATTTTTAATAGAGCAAACAGAGTAAATACCTTACGTTTCATAAGTATACATTATATTTAGCCAATTGGTAATTGGAATAATTAAATTTTGAATTTTCTTTACGAATCTATTTTAGTATTTCTATCTGTTTCGCACTCTGTCTCAGGCCGAGTCTTAACGGGATTCGAAATTTCCGTTCGGATATGAAATTCGGAAAGGTCAAATATATATTTTTGGCCCTTTTGGCTCAGCACAAGGCCCTCAATCAATTTCTAACTTTTTTTTTGAAAATATATGTAGCTTGCATTTGCGTAGAATTTCACGACTTTGACTCATGAAAACTGGTTCATACCCATTGGCTGTTCGCGATAACAAAATTGGTAAAAAGAAAACACATGCTCGACAGAGACTCTCTAGAGAGGAGGGACTCACAGAGACAGAACACACTCATTATATGCGTGCAGTATATGTTACACAGGCATTTACCTGTGCGACTAGCTGCAATTATTGTACGATAGAGACTATATTAGACGAAGATATCGATTGTAGATGCACCTCCCTATCCGATTGTGCTTCGTCACATTGTGGCGACGAAGAGATAGATTGGGAAGAAATCTTTGACGCAAATCTGCGTGTGACGCATCTGCCATACGTAGCTTAAACGATACAGCTGCAAATGTAGCACGGGCACTTGAAGTAAATACATACAAAAACAATGAATTCAGGGAGCTGATTGACGATTTACATAGTTATGATGCTTTCTGTCCACCCAATAAACCATCAGACTACTTTGAGGGGAATGATGACATGCAGTGTGAATACGATGCATCTATACAAATATTTGTCTGTTGCTACATGTAGCGCTCTAGTGTACAGACATAGAACTAAGTTCGCCGACATCGCTGGACAGATACTACAAACAGACCGATCTATACTTGAAATACTTATGCCATATGGCCAATTTTTGTGTTTACAGCAAGCTATCACACCAGAGTGTACAAGAAATCCGTACTATGGGAGTCTAAGGAATGGGGCAATACCAGCAAGTGTACTATTAGCTATGACCCTTCGGATGTTGGCGGGGGGTCAAGTTCCTGACATGTGTCTCATATTCAAAGTGTCGAGAGGTGGGTCAGCAAGCGAATATATGGAACATTCGATAGTAACAGTGTTTTGTCAACACCGGCACGAATTGACTCAGCACATATCTTCCATTGTCGACTCACTTGGCCCAAGCTTCAAACGGGAATTTACTGACCACTTCTTCCCATCAATCTTTCCTGAACCACTACAGCAGCTATGAGAGCCATGCCATATGTTCATACATTGTATCATACATACTTGCCATTTTTGAAATAAATAACAGTATCGCTATGGTGTACGCTATTTTAAAAAAAGTTATCAACGCCATTAACGCATTAACTACGATTCCAGAGCTACGCATTCAATTCACCAAAACTGAAGAAGAATGTAGAAAGATCGCACATGGGCTCATGGTGCGTGCTTTTCACGGCATAATGATACACTGTGTTGGATGCGTTGATGGTTTGTTTGTTAAAGTTAAATTGCCGTCTTCCAAAGACGTACCATGTCGGACACGATTATTTTCTGGACATAAAATGGTAATTGCCAAGCAGTAGGTGATTACAAATATAGATTTACTGCATTTGCTTGCTCTAGCTACGGTAGTGTTCAGGATAAGCGTGCTCTAGAAGCTAGCGGTATACTCGAATTAATTGAGTCCTTACCTAAATCATATCACTGTAATGGTGATAACGCTTATACAGGAACTGTCACTATGCTAGTATCTTGTCCAGGAAATAACCTAGGCATTTGGTGGGATGTCTTTAACTTTTATCAAAGTCAAACTTGTATGCATATTGAACAATCGTTTTGTATACTAGTACATAAAATGGTGTGTTCTCTGGAAACCCCTTGAGTATAATATCAAGTTTGTACCCCATATATTGATATGTTTAACTAAATTACACAACTATTGCATCGGTCTAGATGACTGTGACAGTAGTAAGTATATAACCGTTAACATGAGTGAGATGGATTGGATAGCAGTAGATTCTTTAACCGTGTTTGTTACTGCTGGTGGCAATAAGTTCCAGTATGAGGGCCGCATAATAACAATGGACACAAAAACATGATAAAAGATAGTTATATATATATATATATATATATATATAATATATATATATATATATATATATATATATATATATATATATATAGTNTATNTATATACCTATATAT